TATCAAACACTTCCATCCACACATCTCACAAAGAACATTGAAAACAATGGAAGAAATTTGGCCCTAGTGAAGGCAATGGGGCCAGGATTTCACCCAGGGAGATTAATCATAGTATCACATTATTGCTGGAGTTAAGTTAGCCATGAAATCAAATGCAAAGGAACAGAGTAGAAAAACATGATATCATAAACATACTCAAAACTACCTCATTCCTTTAAAAAAAGAGGCATGAAGAAGCTGGAGGCATAATGGCCCTAAGCATATGTCCCCAGTGGGTAGTGGCAGATGTGTGACCCACACACAAGAGACACGAATGCACATGCAGTAGGGCCACAAATAACACAGCAGCATTCTCACTGAATCACATGGCCACAACATTCTACTATGACACAACTCATAACACAAATGGATTTTTTTCAAGTGTCCTGAATATCCATGACTGTTTCTATTCCTCTCCTTCTGACAGGTTGCCTTCGTAACTAAAAAGGCTGATATGGGAGTCAATAAGTACAATAAGACATCTGTGAGGGACAGATTTTTTTTCTTAGTACCACTTTGAATTTATAGAAAAATGGGTGACATTAGGCATCAGATGACTTTTTCTTTAAAAAGAAAAATTATGCACTTTAGAAAGATATTTTAAAACATCGCACATTTGAACTCCCATCTGTGTTTTGAAGTAGGTATGTGCAATCTTCACTTTCTTCCTTTTTCACACCCTGTTCCTTACTGCTCCATCATATTAGCATTTAACAATATACATTGACATTTTAAAAATCCTGCTTTCATGCTGCTCTTTAAAAATAAACTAGGACCGGGATTAGAGAGCAATATGCAAACTCAAACAAAGGCTTCCCTCCTATGCACCAGAGTCCATAATTGCTGCAAAAGAAAATCTTTGAGTTTGCAGTTGCATGCTCGCCCCACATTCATTTGGTAATGTAAATATACAAGTAATTAGAGCCCGCAGTTTAAAAATAAGTGGATGGGGAGGCAGATCCTTGCTGATGTAAATCAGTGTAACTCTAGCCCATATTGTTTACAAATCAAGACAGTGTAAGATGAAAGAGTATGATTCTGCATGGCCTTGCAGTCTGTGTAGTCATTTAAAACCAGGCTAGTGTGTACAAGAGGAGTATAAGGTATTATCATTTTGATCTGATACCTACTTTGCACAGTTGCTAAGCAAGGTCCAAGGCAGTGGAGAATCAGATCCATATCTCAGTCTCACAAGGCTCCTGTTTTACTTTTAAAGGCAGAGGGTCAGAGTCAATGATATTACAATAACTGACACTCAAGAATCTAGCCCAGAATTTGTACACGCACAACTTGAGCCACCATTTTTGCACCCACCTAGGAGAGACATTCAAGATTAAAAAGATAATAAAAATGTCAGTCTTGTGTCTCAATTTGTGCCTGTAGTCAGTAAGCAGAGGTACAAGTACTTGGATATACATTGCAATTTAGCTAAAGGTGCTTGCTTCACAAGTGCTTATTGTGCCTGCCGAAGGGACATGAGGCTTCTGAACATTAACCCCACAATGTTCAGTTGCTAAAGGTAAGTACAATATTGACCACGCTGACAATCACAACAGTGCCCTATGGGGAAAGCCCAGCAGAATTTTTTCCAAGTGTGCTTCTGACATACTGGAACTACTTTATGAGAGTAATTGCTCATTCAGAACAGGACCAGATTTTGATACCACTCAAATTTCAAGATGTTCCGGTGAGGCCTCCTAGAAAGAGCTTTTCTAGATACATCCCAGATTTGTGATATTACGTGCAAGGCAGGTGCAGTAGCCCAGGGCAGGCAACAGCACCTGTTTGCTTTGTTTTGTTATCTTCTGATGTAGGGTGTTCCGTTATTATTTGTCATATTGTGGTAGTACCAGTGAGCCCCATTGTCCTTCACACACTGTATGCACCCACATAGCAAAGATATTGTCTCTGCCCCAGTGAGCATAAACAGAGCAAAAAGTTGCATTTACATTTTCAAATGCCTTCAGACAGCGCAATTAAATTGGGGGCCCACTGATGCTCCCATTGAAATCAATGGCAAAACTCTCACTACCTTCAATGGACTCAGGACCACAAATTTTGTTTTTTGGGGATATGTCTGATTCCACCTCTATCCATCCTCAACAGAGGCTCCTCTTAGGTTCAGCAAGCTGCTTAGACTCTGGTGGATGGGTTTCTTTCATCCACATTTGTTGGACTTTTTTTCTGTTATCTTATTGCATCTTGTAATATTGCTAATGTATATGTTCAGATTCCCAATACACAGGGCCAGATTCTGCCCACATAATTACCATTACATTTAAAAAATGCTGTATTCAGAGAACTCAAAGATATGTATGAATGTTTTATTTTGAGGCATTATACAAATGAAATACAATCCCTTTAGTATGACATTAAAATTAGACAGTCTTCTAATTACATACTATTTCAGACTTTTTAAACAAATATTTGGGCCTATTTCCAGGTGCAGAATAAATAAAGAGTAATCATAGTTAACTACCCGCTGTACTGAAACCAAGGGAGTACATGCTTTTGCAGTGCTGCTTGATCTCTCTGTAGATTACGTATATTCACATTGGCATGTAAAAGGTGACTGTAAGCACATCAGAGAAGACAGTTGAAAATGCAAAAAAGAAAGCAGAAATTGTAGAAAATGAAAGATGTCTCAAGCAACACAGGCTGAGATACAGCAAAATATAGGGTTTTTCCTGGAAATAGTTTGATGGGACTAAGCAGACAAGGGTGCATAGATTTCGTTTTAGCCCATTTTTATAAAGCTCTATGGAAAATAAATATCTGCTGTGCTGCCTTCCACCTGACAGTAATATATTGTTTCTATACTGATCCTTTTTTGACAGTTGGCTTACTGATTGTACCACTTCACACACTATAGATTTAATTAAGGTGTGTGAAGTGTTAATACAGTGTGACTGTGTTTTTCATGCCAAAAAATATTGAAAATGAGATGGAAGGAAGTTACTGCTTATTGTTGAATTGCATTGTAATTGCTGCAGCATGCAATTATTTAGAGCTAAGCATATTCGTTAATTCAGGTCCAATCTTGCTACCTTTGCTCACACTGATAATTCAGTGCCCAATCTTGCTAGCATTACTCACTGAATAGTACCTTCAAATTGATTTCCATGTGACAAAAGGTGGCAAAATTGGGCTCTCGATTTGCACCCTGTGTAATTATTTAGGGTCAGTCACAATCACAGTAGGGAAAGTTGAAACTCATGGACCGCTTCCTCCGTGCATGCAGGGGTGTCAATTACCATAAAGCGGCAGAGAGGAAGAGGAGCCAGCCTGTGCATTTCCCCCACTGCACACAGGGTCACCAAATGAAATTAATACGGAGCAGGTTTAAAACAAACAAAAGGAAGTATTTCTTCACACAATTCATAGCCAACCTGTGGAACTCTTTGCCAGAGGATGTTCTGAAGGCCAAGACTATAACAGGGTTCAAAAAAGAACTAGATCAATTCATGGAGGATAGGTCCATCAGTGGCTATTAGCCAGGATGGGCAGGGATGGTGTCCCTAGCCTCTGTTTGCCATAAGCAGGGAATAGGCGACAGGGAATGGATCACTTCATATTTACCTGTTCTGTTCATTCCCTCTGGAGCACCTGGCATTGGCCACTGTCAGAAGACAGGATACTGGGCTAGATGGACATTTGTTCTGACCCAATATGGCCATTCTTATGTTCTTATGTGGTGGAAAGGATATTAAGTGTCTTATGCGGCATAAGTAGGAACCAGTTGAGATAGTAGCTCCTGGAGGATATTGGTAAAAAATGTTGGAGATTCAGAATCTGTAGTCCTTGAGTTTCCTAGTGATTTAGAATTTACTGACTCACTGCCTATTTCTGTGAATGGCCCTTGCAGAGTCTGTTTTACAATTGCACTCTTCAATGTTTGCTTAGCCATATCTGGTAGTGAGCAAAAGTTAGCTATGATATCTGTCCAGAGGCCTATGTGAAATGAGTGGTTGGTTTCAATCCAGTTCCTAGTGGAGACATGTCCACCAAAATATTCCATGACAATTAGCATTAAGCAGCAACTTTAGAAGAGAAACAAAGGATTCAATGGGCCTCGAGTGTGAACTATACTTTCCTCCTTAGAGATGGTTCCCTTCTAGTCAGAGTTGAGTCTCTCTGCACTGGCACAGAAAGGAAGCAGCTGCTTGTTCCTGCTTTGTGGATAAGCAACCTTATCCAAAACCCACTGGAGGCAGTAGGAGTCTTTCCATTGATGTTAGTGGGCTTTGGATCAGGACCAAATAGAGAATTTAATTCTCCATGGCTGTTGATCTGACATCTTTCGCCAGCACTAAATTCAATTAAAAAAGAGAAAAAGCTAAGCTCAAACAATATCATTAAGGAATCCAGCTTGGAGATTGACACCAGCCAATACATTCCTCTCTTTCCTCCCCATTCTACCATCTGTCTTGGTTTTATAGCTGCTACTTTTTTTCATCATCAGACTGGCAATGAATTTCTACAGTCCATTTGCAGAAGGATTTTTTTTATATTTCCGCCTATCATTAAAAACCAAAATCAGGATCTGTTATAATAAGATATAATACTGTAGTGAAGAGGATCTGGTAATGAGTAAAACTCACATGAAAGCTACAGCCATGTAAACAATTCAATTTTAAAGCAGGTGATTTTATCCCCGCAGGTGGCCCACGTAGTTCAGGATTTCAGTAGCGCTTCACCAAAATCTTTACTTAAAAAGTAAACCAAAAGTTATTTAATGTTCTTGATTTGGTTTTATAACAAAAGGAATAATTCTAAAGCCTGCTTGGGGGTTTTAAGGGTATTTCACCTATACAATAGATGTATCAAAGTTAGGATTGGAACAGACTTCAGAGGTCATCAGGTCCAAACCCTTGCACCTAGAACAGATTATCCCCTACCCTGTTCCCCATAGTGTTAACTGAATCTTTTGATGAACACTTCTATTGATGGTACCTCAGAAACGGCTCTTGGCAGAGATCTCTTCCATTGTCATATTGCTCTTGCTGTCAGTAACCTCCTATCTAATTTAAACTTGCCTTCCTCCACTTTAAAGACGTACTTCCTGACAGACATCCTTGGTCGTCCTGGAATATTTCTTCCCTTCTTATATTATTTTCCCTCAAGGACAAATCTAGGGTACTAAGCATTCCCTCTTTCTTTATTTCTGTACATAATATTTTACATTTTTTAACCTTTCCAAAGCTTTCCACTCTCATCAGACTTGTTACTCTTCCTTCTCTTTACTTTACCACTATCTCTTTAATTGTGAATTAGCCAGGACTGTACACAGTATTCCAGTGATGCCTTAATTATGCCATGCATAGGTGAGTTAAAATGTCTCTAACCTTACATGCAGTACCTCACATTGCTTTCCTTTGTAATCATTTCATAGTACAACCCAATGGGCTCCATTCTCAGCCAGTGCAAACTGGAAAAGCTCCACTGAAGTCAATGGTACATTGATTATTAACCTGGACTGTATGAAGGTAAGTGTAACAGTTAAAAATCTCCACAGCTCTAAGAGGGAAGATATATGAATATGATGACTCAGAGGCACATTCTGTTCTGTGGGGAAAGTGACAGAGGAAAGGAGGAAAGAATTTTGGCAGATTTTGTGCGTGAAATGGGCTGCAAGCTACTTCAGTCACAGAAGCTGAATGCTACTTCAGGATAAAATATAGTTTGTGCTAATAAAGTCTTTTCCCACACATCGTGACTTTTCTAAGTTGCAGGAGTTAAATGGAGCAGAGGTTGAGAACATCCATTTTCCTCATTACAGCTGCAGCAATATTATAGAGCACCTTGTTAGTGAGATGGAAAATAAATTAGCAGCACTTTTGTACAATGTGGACTTTCTCACTTTCTATCTCTCATGCACTCTCTCAATCTCTCTCTCTCTCTCTCTCTCTCTCTCATACTCTCATTCTTGGTGAGAACACTCCCTTCAGTAAATCAACCATTAAACTTTATAGCCATGCACAAATTGATAGTAAAAATGTCCACAACATTTTCCCGGGTCCTCCAGAAGCAATCAAGGTAAATATAGCAAGGAATTTGCCCCCGTTTTTCCCTTGAGCTTTTAGCGCATGGAAAGTTAACAGAAGATGCTCTAGCCATAAAATTAAATGTCTGGCATTGCAAAAACATGATGCAGCTATAAAGCCTGGTAAAGAGAGTGGATTATGCATGTTATGACAGATAAGGTCCCTTTGGCATATGCCATTCAATGTGTTGCCTCTTGTACTTGAAGTAGTCATTGATAATGTGTTGACAAAATGTGCAAAGAATAGTTTCAAAATGTTCGGGTGGAAATTATGTGTAATTTTAACCATTTAATAACACAAGAGTTAGTGCCAACTACCTGAACTTGTCAGTATAAGTCCACCATTCTATGTAAGATGGAGATTCAACTGTCCTAAAATTGCTATCTTTTTTCTTTTCCAAGGAGAGCTAAATCTTTTCTTAGCATAAATACTTCACTCATATTTCGATAGTATCTCATACACATTTGATCAATGGCTAAAAACAGCAAGACCTAAAGAAACTTTTAAGACAAAATCTTCCTGTCCTTCAAAGGGTTTCCCAGACCCAGTGGGAATGGTCAGGTTCTGCTGCAGATAAACACAGGATATCTGGGATTCACCATGGGCGTTCCTTCCCGTGGAGCATCATGGAGCACTGTGCGCTTATAAACCCCTTACATCCCAATGAAGTGTAATCAGAGTGGTGAGAAAATTCAGAGAAGTTGGGGCAGAATGAGTGGGTCCACCACTCTACTACTCTACAGACATTATTCTCAAGTTGCAGTGATAACCAGACATTACTGCAGCTTCTGGGCTACATTAGCCATGACTTCAATCATCCTGACATCTGCTGGGAGTGCAATACAGCAGTGCACAGAAAATCCAGAAAGTTTTTGGAGAGTGTTGGGGACAACTTCCTAGTGCAAGTGCTGGAGAAACCAACCAGGAACTGTTTTCCTCTTGACCTGCTGCCCACAAATAGGGAAGAATTGGTAGGGGAAGGAGAAGTGGGTGGCAACCTGGGCAGCACTGACCAAGAGATGTTCGAGTTCAGGATCCTCACAAAAGGAAGAAAGGAAAGTAGCAAAATACGGACCCTGGACTTCAGAAATGCAGACTTTGACACCCTTAGGGAACTGATGGGCAGGATCCCCTGGGAGGCTAATATGAGGGGGAAAGGAGTCTGGGAAAGCTAGCTGTATTTTAAAGGAGCCTTACTGAGGGCACAGGAAAAAATCATCCCGATGTGCAGAAAGAATAGCAAATATGGCAGGTGACCAGCTTAGCTTAACAGTGAAATCTTCAGTGAGCTTAAACACAAAAAAGGAAGCTTACAAGAAGTGGAAACTTGGTCATATGACTAGGGAGGAGTACAAAAATATTGCTCGAGCACACAGGGGTGTAATCAAGAAGGCCAAAACACAACTGGAGTTTCAGCTAGCAAAGGATGTGAAGAGTAACAAGAAGGGTTTTCTCAGGTATGTTGAATGGGGGAGGCAACCTAGTGACAGATGATGTGGAAAAAGCTGAAGTACTCAATGCTTTTTTTGCCTCAGTCTTCACAGACAAGGTCAGCTCCCACACTGCTGTCCTGGGCAACACCGTTTATGGGGAGGAGGTGAGCAGCCCTCAGTGGTGAAAGAACAGGGTAAAGACTATTTAGAAAAGCTGGACAAGCACAAGTCCATGGGTTTAGATATAATGAATCCAACGGTGCTGAGGGAATTGGCTGATGTGATTGCAGAGACATTGGCCATTATCTTTGAAAACTCGTGGCAATCGGGGGAGGTCCCAGATGACTGGAAAAAGGCAAATATAGTGCCCATCTTTAAAAAAGGGAAGAAGGAGAACCTGGGGAACTACAGACCGGTCAGCCTCACCTAAGGCCCTGGAAAAATCATGGAGCAGGTCCTCAAGAAAACCATTTTGAAGCACTAGGAGGAGAGGAAGGTGATTAGGAACAGTCAACATGGATTCACCAAGGGCAAGTCATGCCTGACCAACCTGATTGCCTTCTATGATGAGATAACTGGCTCTCTGGATATGGAGAAAGCAGTGGACATGATATATCTGGACTTTGGCAAAGCGTTTGATACGGTCTCCCACAATATTCTTGCCAGCAAGTTAAAAAGTATGGATTGGATGAATGGCCTATAAGGTGGACAGAAAGCTGGCTAGATTGTCAGGCTCAACAGGTAGTGATCAATGACTCAATGTCTAGTTGGCAGCTGGTGTAAAGCGGAGTGCCCCAGGGGTCGGTCCTTTGGCCGGTTTTGTCCTACATTTTTATTAATTATCTGTGTGATGGGATAGATTGTACCCTCAGCAAGTTCGTCGATGACACAAAGCTGTGGGGAGAAATAGACACGCTGGAGGTAGGGATAGGGTTCAGAGTGACCTAGACAAATTGGAGGACTGGGCCCAAAGAAATCTGATGAGGTTGAACAAGGACAAGTGCAGAGTCCTACACTTAGGATGGAAAAAACCCATGCACAATTACAGGCTGGGGACTTACTGGTTAAGCAGCAATTCTGAAGAAAAGGACCTGGGAATTACAGTTGATGAGAAGCTGGATATGAGTCAGCAGTGTGCCCTTGTTGCCAAGAAGGCTAATGGCATATTGGGCTGCATTAGTAAGAGCATTGCCAGCAGATCAAGGAAAGTGATTATCCCCCTCTATTCGGCACTGGTGAGGCCACATCTGGAGTATTATGTCCAGTTTTGGGTTCCCCACTACAGAAAGGATGTGGACAAATTGGAGAGAGTCCAGCAGTGGGCAACGAAAATGATCAGGGGGTTGGGGCACATGATTTACGCGGAGAGACTGAGGGAACCGGGCTTGTTTAGTCTGCAGAAGAGAAGACTGAGGGGGGGGATTTGATAGCAGCCTTCAAGTACCTGAAGGGGGCATTCCAAAGAGGAAGAAGCTCGGCTGTTCTCAGTGGTGGCAGATGACAGAACAAGGAGCAGTGGTCTCAAGTTGCAGTGAGGGAGGTCTAGGTTGGATATTAGGAAACACTATTTCACTAGGAGGGTAGGGAAGCACTGGAATGTGTTACCTAGGGAGGTAGTGGAATCTCCATTCTTAGAGGATTTTAAGGTCTGGCTTGAGAAAGCCCTGGCTGGGATGATTTAGTTGGTGTTGGTCCTGCTTTGAGCAGGGGGTTGGACTAGATGACCTCCTGAGGTCTCTTCCAACACTAATCTTCTATGATTCTATGATGGAGTGGCTCTCCTGCCAATGTCTATGAAATCTCTCAAGACAAGCCTAGCTACATGCAGGGACGAGGATTTGCCGTTAGTAACAAGTACTAACATAGGGTCCAAAGGGTTCTGGTTCCACTGGTCTAGCAGTGCAGGCTTCTCTGGGGCTGGAGTGCCTCAAGTTCCTGGGGCATTTGGGGAGGATGACAAAGAGGAGGAACTGAAAACAGGGAACTGAGGTATGGAGACAGTAGAAGATTTGAGCAAGATGACATTGAAAGCATGCAGTTGAACCAGTGGCCCCCTCAAGTGCCAGGCTGTTGCCGTGAGCTTTGGACCATCCTTCTTCCACGTTCATAGGGGATGGAGCTAAGGTTGTGCATGAAACATGAACTCTCTTAACATGGCTTTTCTACGGATTTTCTATATTACTTTAAAAAGTAAAAGATGGGAGAAAAGAAAAACCATAAAAGGAAGAGTTTCACTCTCCTGGATTCTGAAGCTTTGCTGCTTTTCATAGTTCCTCAGGTCTATGATAGGGAGCCATTCTTTGAAGCCCCTTACAAACTACACAGTAGCCCACCCACAACCTTCGCACTGTACGAGGTTCATTTTACTCTTTTTGATTCAAAGCTAAGGAAACCCACACAGCAGGCACACCACAGCCTGCCTTGGGGCTTATCTACACTACTTTTAAACTAATGTAACTACACCAGTGCAACCCCCTAGTGTAGAGGTTATGGACTGGTATAAAAAGTGACTTGCACCTCTTATCCCGATGTACCCTTTCTTATCTGGGGTAAATTGCCGTGGTGCAACTCACTTTTTACACCAGTACAGCATGTCCACACAAGAGGGTTGCAAAGATCCCCAATGAAGACATGCACTTAGTGGCAAACTTTACATACTTAGTGGAAACACATGACAAGGTAATCAAATATATTGTTACACATACCTGTGACATTTTAATTTTAATGAAAGACTATAAAACAAAAAGGGTTTGATTTTTAACAACCAACCTTCTTTCAGTTTTCAACCTTTCTCTCCCTCTTGTCCTCACTTACCAGTTAAAGAAAAATTGGGAGGTTCTTTTGGTATGAAATTATAAAAATAAAACCCAAACCATAAAATATTTCAAAAATTTCCATAAAAATTATATATTGTCTTAAACTGTAAAACAAAATCATTTTGGGCAGAGACAACATTAGAAAATTTTAGACCAAAATATCAACATTTGAACATGTTATAAGCAACTAAAA